CGTTTGGTTTTTTTTTTTGCTATAGGGCATGTGCACTTGCCACACAGACAGAGAGGGACAGAGAGACAGAAAGCGAGAAATCACTCCCCAGGGAGGATGGCCACACCACAATCCCTTCTCTTCCATTCTCCTCTCTGGGATGCGCAAACCGCAGTCGACTACATGGGAGTCCAGTGACATAGCCATTACGCTAACTGCTGGTCCCTGATGACACCACTTTTTAGCGCCTCCATGGTTGGGGGAAAGAAAAAAAGGGGGGGAGAGAAGATACTCTGAGTTGACTATGCTTTATGGTATGGATAACACTTTGGCTGTTTGTCTTTCTTTTTTTTTTTTGAGAGGTTTTTGCTATACCCAGGGGGGGTGGCCATGCTGCAATCCCTTCTCCTCCATTCTCCTCTGGGGATCTTGAGCACACACGCACACGTGCCTGACATGAGTTTTAAGCCACTGGGTCCAGGACACGAACCACAGTCGACTACATGGGAGTCCAGAGACATAGCCATTATGCTAACTGCTGTTCCCTTGGCTGTTTGTCATTTAACCTTCCAGAGCAGCCTTTAGGGTGGTTCTCTCTGCAAATGAAGGAATGAAGGCTCTGAGAAATTACCACCACCTAAGAAAACTCACATTTTGAGGCTTGAGGCTCACGCAGGGAAGTGAGAAGCTCAAGGGCTACGAAGTACAATTAAATTCTGTGTGTGATCCAGAGATGCTGTTCCACTATTCTCTGCCTCAGTTGTCCCATCTGTGACATGGTTAAGGCTAGCCAACCTTTCTTCCTTAGAGCCCGTCTTCTCTCTCCATCTTGGTGCCTAGCACCTTGTAACCAACAGGTAACAAGAGCTACTTGTTCTGAAAACAGTGAATTGACAATCCTATAACCAATCCTCTATGAAGTGAGAATGAAATGTAACATTGGAAAGTGTTTAGAATGGTGCCCTACACACAGAAGGGAATAGATCTGTGTTTGTTCTTTCTCTCCCAATCCTATCAAGGCCCTGAAGAGTAAGCACAGAAATTCATCTCTGAAGTAGGAGTACTCATGGACATTTTCTCCACTCTGTTTCCATTGACCCATTCATTCAGTGACTCATTCATTCATTAGACATAAGGACTTCTCCCTTGTTGCAAATAGGCTGTGAAGACAGCTTTGGTAGTCAGTTTATGTGACTATAGGAACTAACATGGGTTTGCATAGTAAGGCTGCTCTTTGACTTTGCTAGATTTTCTACAGCAACGTGCTTTGGTCTCAGTTATGGCCTGAACTGCATGTTCCTTCAAACTTAAGTCAGAGTCCTAATCCTTGGTACTCCACAATGTGGCCTTATTTGGAGACAGGATTATTGAAATGTAGTTAGTCAAGGTTCAATCAGATTGGAGCAGGGTGGTTCTAGTATGACTGAATCCAATAGGACAAGGATTCTTATTAAAAGGGGAACTTGGATACAAACATGCACACAGGGATAAAACCACAGGAATACTGGAGTGATGAGCCACAAGCCAAGGAACTACCAAAAGCTGGACAGAGGCCTCCAACAGATCTTTCCTCAACACTTTCAGAGAGAAGGTGGCCCTACTGATAACCTCGATCGGGTTTCAGTCTCCATAAGTGAGAGAATAAATTCTGCTGTTTAAGTTACCTAATTTGGGATATTCTTATGATGACACTAATACGGTTTTTAAGACAAAATACCAGGATTTGTGTAAGTCCCAGGAGAGCTGCTATTTTATTTGGCAAGCTGGCTCAGGTTATTATCATAACAAGTAGTTTCTACAGATAAAAGATGAGGGAGGGTAAAGAAGGCAAGTCACAGCCTAACAGGACAAGCTGCTGGGGAAAGGCTTAGTCTGCGAGTGGGTGTGGGTACTGCCCTCCATCCCACTCTGCCAGAATCTTCCTAGAGGGGAAATAATGGAGAGATGCCTTCAAGAGAAGGGCCTTGGTCGCTTGACCCCAAATAGGGGCACTGCCCCTGGTTTCTCCAGCCCGAGGAAGCAGCAGCATCTCTCTCTTCCCTTTTCTCCTTACCACATTGAGCATCTTCACTACACAGGCTTTAGAAAGGCTGCCTGGAGGAGATTTGCAGGGAGGTAATGCCAGTCAGCCCAATCTAACAGATAAAATTTCTTCCCAAATTTGACAGTTGAGAGTCTTCATTCAGTTATTCAGTCATTCAATTAAATAATATCAATTTATTTTAATAGATATGTCATAGAAAAGAAATATTTATCATAGTAAGTTTACTGATTCTTTGAAGAGAAAGGATGCTTGTCACAGTCCCCAGCCCTGTGCCTGACTCGTCCCCCTGTGGTTTCTGCAGTGCTCTAGCTCACACTCCCTGTGCCTGCAGGCAGCTCCTGCTGGGTATCTTAAATGCCACGATGGTTTTTACCAGGAAATGGCTTACGTATGTGTTTACTTACAAAGAGTAACAAACAGGCACCTTGAATTGACTGTGAATTAAAAGATTCACTA